AGCTCGCCGTATCCTATCTTGAACAACGGGAGATGTCTCTCAGTGCTACCTCTCGCAAGACACGCCCATGTACGCAAGGCTTCATCAGAGTAAGCTCAAGAGTACAGCTCTACGGGACTGCGACCCTCCTATCGCCTATAGACCTTCAAGCCAAATGCTAGCTTCGAAGAAGCTTTCGATCCTTATCTCACAGCGTTGAGGTCAAAGGTAGCTCAAAATCACCATTGCACAGGATCTCTGTACAACTCCAGACAATTCGCAGTAAGACTAGCACCCGCAACGTAGCATCTTCATCAAATGTAGGTGCAACACGAGATAGGGACATCGGGTATCGGGAACACGAAAGAGCCTCATGTACACGGTTTCCCGTTGTTGGCGCTGTATCACACGAGATAGGGACGCGCCGTGCGCATGCATTCACGGGGAGTCGTTTGTGCAGTGCATAGCTTTCCATAGTGCAACGTGAGATAAGGAGACTGGATGTTGAGGGCGCTTCATGCAAAGCACTCAGTCCGTAGCATTCAAGGAGATGGGTAGAGGTGCAAGACTATCATATCAATATACCAATACATGGCCACTTCTCATGCTCATCCATCACCATAACAGAGAGTATGCCAAGTCTATAAACACAAAAAAAGATCAATGGGGTATCTAATCAAACAAGCAAACCACACATTCCCCAAACTCAATATCTACTCCCCTACCGCCGTCTCGCCCCCAAACTCTCCACATTATTCGCGTGCGCAAGCAAATACTTACAACACGTCAACGTATACTTGCACGCCTTCGTCCATCCCTCATCTTTATTCAACGCCAACTTGATACTCTGATCATGAATGCGATCTTTCTGTATCTCATACGGCATCTTGACGCCTCCTGGTGGCCCACCTCCAGGCGCTGCTATACCAGCAACAGCATGTGACGACGGAGCAGCAGCAGAGTTCTCCACAAACTCGCCCAATTGCCGCAGACATTCCAAGAACGCAACCATAGCCGTATCGAACTTTCTGTGTAGGAAGCCAAAGTTTATGGGGAAGTCGCCGGAGGAGTAGAGTTCGAGTTTTTGTCTTGTTACTTGTGGTGAGTTGGCGCTTGTGGATTGAGGTTGGCGTGTTGATTCAGACACTGTGTTTCCGGTGCCGCCTTTCGTTTCGATACGCGTGATGGTGGATGTAGAGCCCATGGGGCAGAGTTCGTAGCCGTCGAACTTGTAGTTTAGTCGGTCGGCTAGTGTGGCGAGGAGGAGGCATGTTTGACCCCATGCGGCGTTGATTTCGGGCCAGTCGACGTACGGGTTCGGTAGGCGGCCGAGGCGGAGGCCGTTGATGGTGGCGAAGTGGTTGTCGTGAGTTATGTTGAAGGTGTCGTTGTATACACTTCTCCTTTGTAGCTGGTTGAGTATTTGCGCATCGTGCGCGTATCGCGTGGCTAGAGCGTCGCGGTCGTTTTGGATAGTGGTCAGGGTGGTGTTGAAGGCGTTTCTGCTCTTCCAAAACTCGCTTTCCTCTTGGTCGAGGATCCGGCTCTCGACTTCTAGGGCGGCGAGCTGGGCGTCTAGTTCGGCCTTTTCGGCTTCGAGATTCTCGAGCTGCGTGATGGCGGTGCTTTCGGCTTTCTTGGCTGCTTTGAGGGCGGCTTCGGCGGCTTTGACTTCTTCGGCGCTGGGCACGTCGGTGTTGGCGCGGCGCAGGTAGTCGACGTATGCGTCGCGTTCGCGGGTCGCTACGCCTAATCGCTTCTGCAGGCCTTCGATGAGCAGTTCGGTGCACTCTACGCATATAGGGTGATCGACATCGGAGCGTGCTGACAGTATCTCGAACATGCGGTTTGTCGTTTCCAGTGTATCGGCCAGACTCGCGCTTCCCTGTATGCCCAGTCCATTTGAGAAGCTCTTCCGTCGTGTCTTGTCATTCGCGTTCGGCTTCGTCTCGCCTGCTTGTGGTTTCCGATCTGGGCTACGAACGGCTGAAGAGGGTGGGTCTATCATCGACTCGGACATGTGTATGTCGATGAAGGACATGGCGGGGTTCTGGGGGCCATTTGAGGGTCCCGAAGGCGGTGCGCCCTGGATGTTGCGCTTGAAGGTAGGGTTCCTGGCGTCTTTGGCCGCATCTTGATATGTCTTGAGGTGTTCGGGCGGGTTCGGGGGGCGCGACTGGCGGTTCGGGGCTATACGTGACGCTGGCTGTTGGCCCGATACTGTCGAATCTATAATATGTTAGTCTGATGCGTGGTAGTCTGCAGAATAGATATGTACCAGTCAATAGCTTGAAGGCGGCCGGGTTGAGCTGGTCGATGGAGGCGTCGATGTCTATGGGCGTCCTGCATTTCTGACAGGCCAAGGCTGTCTGTTTTTTGTCGATAGCCATGTTGTCATGAGCTGTTGTTCTTCATGCTTGGAGAGAGGTCGTCTGTTCCAAGGCGCTGACGGAATGACGGTTGCGGTTCACTGGCGATCACCTGCATGCGGGTGGGGCTGCCGCTAAGTGTCGGGTGCCTGCCGAGGAAACCGCGTCGCGTCTCGCTGTTCGCGTCAATCACAGCATCGCAATCAGAAACTGTCTTACACGCAAACGCCCACCACCCACACACCGACCCCTATTCTACACCGCCCTTACGCTGGTTGAGACACATGCTCGCTGCTAAAGTGCGCGGCAACACGCGCCATGGAACCGCCGGCAAAGCGCATGCGCATACTGCACTCAGTTGAGGTCGACGAAGACAATGCCGAATACATCAAGGCCAAGCAGAAACAACAACAGAAGCTCAAAAGCCGATTTGAGTCCATATTTGAGAAATTTGGAAACATGAATCCATCTCAAAGCGACGAAATCGACTTCAACACAAACAGGGTGGTTGTGGATAGAGGTCATCTGCGAAGAATAAAGCGCCAGGCCAATGGCAAAGAGAAGACGCTACTGGAATCTATAGTCATGGGAAATGGAAGCCATTCGGAGGATGATGGAGATGACGACGAAGAGAAGGGAGAGGGGCAAGATTCGGAGGACGAACTGGCACTCCCGCTGCTGGTCAAGCCAAAGGCTGCTGGACCGCTTGAGCAAGACATAAACAAACAACAGACCACAGCCACCGAGGCCAATGCGCCACAGTCTGCAATATCCCAGCACGACTTGCCAGCAACATCTATACCGCAATTCGGCGTTCCGCAAACGCCCAATCCTTCGAACCCCACCGCAGACCTCCTACGACATTTTCAGTTTCCACAAACACCTGCCGGACAGCAAGCACAAAGCGCTTTCCACGCCAGTCTACTGCAGACAATCCACCAAGCTGTTAACCAAGCCGTAGCTGGTCTTGTGCTGCCAAACGCCTCGATACCCTTCGCAAACGCCGCAGCTCCCCCGATCACTCCAATAACAACAGACGACAAGGTAGCGCCTGCGACGGACCCGAAATGGTTCTTTCCACCTCTGTCTGCACAACCGCGCCAATGTCCAGTCGCCCAGTCGAGCCCTCTCCCAACCCATACGACACCACCAATAGCAAAAGAGACGGACCAACAACCTTCATACACTATCTCAAGGGATGTCGCTGATGGAAAGCCCTGCGCCTCGATTCGTACAAGACCGGATGAAAGCTCACCAACAAGACCCCGTCGAACCAGTCCACGTGTTGAGATCCAAAGGCGCATTCCCAGGACTGCAAGGAGATATCCCTTCACTCACGAAGATGATGTGTACATAAGCAGGCGCAAGAAAATAGACGGTGTATCATGGGCGGTCATCAAAGACAGCCAACAAAAGTGGAAGGAGTGGCCAATGACTGCACTTCACAACCGCTGGAATTTGATCAAGAATCAGAATCTTCACCTACAAGAGCCTGCTGTAGCTCCTAAGGGTGGTCGCGTTGTTGGGGAGGATCAGGTCTCCAAGGAACCCGCCGTCTCGAAGCCGCCGCACCATCTGCCGACACCGAGTTCTTCAGAGCATGAAGACTATCACCGGAGCCTTGTCCAGTCGACAGAAAGTGACATTCCGGATTTGCGATCGTCGAGCACTCATTTTGATGACGATGACCGTGATCTATTATCCCTTGCTGGCGATGATTATGACGAAGAGCAACTCCCGATGAATGACGACGACAACGATACCCGTGTAGATGTATCCGGAGATGTGGTACTGCCGTCCATCGAGACGAGAGATTTGATCGATGAAGACACACTACAGAGCGACTTGCTTGCAGACTTACCAACGCAAGACGATATCGCAACACCAGTCCGGGAATCATCTTGCATAGCAATAAAAGCCGAGCCAGCCTTCTCTTCGCCAACTACACTTCGAGTACGAAAGCATGCAACACCACTCGCCGAAGTAATACCCGGTTCGCAACAGACCGAAGATGACTTGCAGACTGACCTTGTCCTGCCATCCCCTCCCAACATCGAAAACAAATCCTCGGGAATTGCGAAGCCCGATGCAATCCAACAATCAAAGGCGCAAAACACGCATACCACCTCCCACCGAAAAAGCCCATCCCTGGATCTCATCGGCACCTCCGCCGACGACGAACTCCTCCCATCCCCGCCCAACCCAACAACTCCATCCTTGAACCGTGCCCACGAACCAGCCACCCCACGAACCGCTGTCCCCTTCACCACATACCAAACCCCCCAGGTTCGCAATGCCGACGGCAGTAGTGACAAGGACAGCAAATCCACGTCGAAAGCCGATCGCAAAGCATTCCACAAACGGATAAAGAGGGAATGGACGAGGAAAGGTACACCGGCGAAGGAGAGTGCGGCAAAGAGAAGGAGTCTAGGGGGGTTGGAAGTGAGGAAACGGAGATGGGTTGATGTAGATGGAGAGGGGAGTGAGGATGAACTCGCTAAGTTTTGATCGTGGCGAGAGAGGGTTAGTAGCTAAAGCTGGCAATGATGCTGTCTTGTCTATCTACATCGATGTCTATACGTACAAAATACAACTACACATCCAATCCTTCTGTTGTCGATCCGAACACTGACTAGCTAGCTAGCATCGATACTACCATTTCACATCTCCACCTCCCCATCCCTCATTCGCATCCTGTCCCCACGTTCCCACTACTTCCTTCTCCTTCCTCTCCTTATTCCCCTCCCAACCCACTTCCTTAGCAATCGCACTCTTCGCCTTGACACTCGGATCCCTCGAATGCCGCTCAACCCACTGCTCTGTAAAGTCCTTCACCCGGCCATCGCCATGCGCATCTTTTTTCTCACTTGACCTCCTCTGCTTCTGCTTCTGTTTCTCCTTGTCGACCGTCGGCTTACCGTGTTTCCTCTCCTTCCCAGCAGCGCCACCACCAGTAGTACCCTCCCCGTTATCTTTACCCTTCAACCTCCGCTCCAAAGCCAACATCTTCGCAATGAGTTCCTCCTGCGGCACACTCTTCAACTTCTCTGCTTTCTCCTTCTCAGCATCCCCATCATGCTTCATATCCCCCTCATGAAGTACACCCAGTCCTTTCAGTACCCCCTCGCTTCGATACTTAAACCGAAACACCGCATACGGCTTCTCCAAACGATCTAGATACTCTGGTCGACCGACAACATGACCGTACTCAGTTGCTTTGCCCGCGCGGACGGCGTGTTGGATACCGCTTTTGCTGGATGTGGATTGGCTGATGGTGAGGCGCGGTTCTGCGGGGGCGATGTACGTGTCGTTCGGGGAGGAGGCGTGGAGGACTTTCTTGGGTACGGAAGAGGAGGTAGAAGGAGGAGGAGGAAACTGCCAGTGTGGTTGTGCCGTGAAGTTTGGCGTGGGTTTGGGATGGATGCGGGAGGGGAAGTTATGATTGGGTCGGTATCGAGAGAGGGTTTTGTTGCTCATGCGGTGGGTGGGTGCGTTCGGTTTCGCGGTTTCGGGCGGTGCTGGAGCGGGCGCGGACGCGAAGGGTGTAGGTGTCGGCTGTTGAACAGTGGGCTGTACGGCGTTTTCGGCGGGAAAGCTCCATGATTGATTTTGCCAGGGGACTTCTGGTGCTGGGGCTGGTGGGTTGGCAAAAGCGGATGTCAAGGCGGATTTGAGGCCGGCCCAGTCGTTCATCTTGTCGACTCGCTCTTGTTTTGGGGAGGATGGGGGGTTACCCCATCCTGTGTCCTTTGAGTGCCAGCCGCCATCATCAGCTTGGGTCTTCTTGTTGTCGTCTGGTTTGGTCCAGCCTCCGGCTTGGTCGTCATCGGTCGAGTACCAACCCTTCTTGTCGTTCTCGTTGAGGTTCTTTTCTTGCCAACCATCGTCACTGTTCTTGTCCCAGCCGGTGATCTTCTCAGTCCCTGTGTCCCAAGAGGGTTTGACAGTGTCATCTTTCTTACCTCCACTCCAAGACACAACCGAAGGTGATCGCCCACATTCTAGTTTCTCACCTGCTGTACTATATACAAAATCCTTCATCGACGATGCGTATGGGGCTGGAAATATGTTACTCGGAACGTTGCTAGGCTTTCTAATAGCCTCGTGAACAGCAGCTCCCCACTCTGGGGTAGGTATAACCAAAGCAGGTGGGTTAGTGTAAGCACTGGGCTGTCGTGATTGTACTTGTTCCGGCGGAACAGAAGGGGGCGCATTCATCACTGTTGGTGTCATTCGCGTGATGACTGAAGGTACAGGCACAGCGGCTGGCACATCATCCGCAGGTCTCGAAGATGGGTGACGATGTGAATGCTTCGATGGCTTTCGCTCATGATCGCGCTGTACCGACTTGGAAAGTCGAGAACGGCTCTTCGATCTTCGTCGTGAGGGCTGTGCCCGGCTTCGAGAACGCGATGGCTGGAGAGTAGCGTCGGAGCTACTCAGCGAGACCACAGAGTCTGAAGGCCGTTCGAGACGATCCCAACTCCCGCTGTCTTCTTCTGAAGAAGTGATTTCTCGATCTCGATGCGAACGTCTTGATCGCGATTTAGAGCGCGAACTTCGTTTCGTTTCGTGCTTCGAGCGCGGTCGATTGTGTTTAGGAAGATTGACTGGGGAGCTAGACCTCAGATGGTAGTGATTAGGAGGATTAGTCACCCAGAGTTTTCCCTGTTGGCTGGAGGCGTCCCATTCAGCTGCCTTGTCGGTCGGCCAAGTATCTCCTGTGTCCCAGGCGTCGGACGGGGTGTCTTCCCGCGCGTTCCATCCGGCACTGGAGGAGTCGGTCTCGAAAACAGGCTCGGCGTTCCAGGTAACATGGGTCCCTGCTCTACTTCGTGGAGGTCGTTCGCCCCAGCCAGCCTGCGACTTGGCCCAGTTTGAACCGTGTTCGCTCTGCTGATCGCGCGAGGAGAAAACCCGCTGCTCTATGTGTTGATGTGGTTGTGTTGGGGCATCGAATGGAGATTCAGGCCACGCTCCTGGTGGCTGACTTGCAGACTTTGCATCAAAATGTGTTTCCTTGTACTTCGCCTGTCCTTCTGATTGTGTGTCCATTCGTCGCGACTCTTCCACTCCTTGCTTGACTGCTGTCGTAAGAAGATTGTTCAACCACATTGGTTCCACAGTCGGAGGTTGCACCGCTCCGACATGAGGAGGATGCGTGTTATATGGTTCTCTGTCACGCGGGATAGGACCGCTGCCGTACTGGAAACCTGGCGGAGGAAGGTCGTTAGTGCGCCGCGCCCCCGGACTGATAGGCTCTGAGTATCTGGAATGTGGCCGCGAGTGGTGCGAAATAGGTGCCGGAGGGAAGAGCTCCTGAGCTTGGTATGCAGTGCGATGAGTTCTCGATGTCGAGCCTTGCGGGCTACGTACCGTTTCGACGTATGGCGAGCGATGAGACGGGAGAGGCGGTGGTGGACCATGGCTATTGCCAAAGTTGCTGAAGAATGGCCCTCTATCATCGTACATAGACCTCTCGTTAGATGGCGATGAGCTATCGTCTACGCCAAACCGGTGCTCTGGAAAGTCTCCTGCTCCATCAAAATTCATCGTTGAGGCAGATTTGGCATTGCGCGTACCGGCGCATCGTAGAACGACGACTTCTATGCAGCCTATGTTGTCGAGAATGTTTGGCGAACAAATGTTCGGTGCATCATCCGCTGAAGCTGTGAATAGTTAGAAGACCGCGTTTCTATGAAGTCCTCGCAACACATACCAATGTTGAGTTTATCAAAAGCCCACTCCCTCGCAATCATCGATCCATCTTTTTGCCTTTCTTCCTTCTGCCTTACGCGAAAGTCGACAAGAGAGCGACTATCGGAAGGCTTCCGTAGCTTCAAGTCCTGCCTATTGCGGTTGCACTGGTAAACACCGTCGACGTAGACGAAGATGGCGACGCCTGGAGCGATGAACTTGTTGGAAGTGAGGTGGATGGAGAAAGACTGTGGTTTATTGGGTACGGGGACGAAGGTTTCTACGAAGCCGTCGCCGTATATGGTGCCAAACTCTCGCAATGCTTGCTGACTCCCGGATAGCTCGATGGCGCAATTAAGGTCCTTTAGTGAAGGCATGGTGGGATTGACCTTCAGGACAGTTGTCGTAAGATCGCAGTAGGACGAAGAACTGCCTGGGATGGGTAGCAGAGGTGCCAAGCTGTGGACGTGGTGTGTAAAGTGAGCTCTGGTTGTCACAGTGACCGACGAGAGGTGAAGCGGTGGCGGAAGCTGAAAGAAACCCAGTTGACTCTGCACTCAGCCCGGGAATTACCGCGCGCAGACCTCTCACATTATCTTCAGATGGACTTCTTGAAGGAGAAGACAGGAATTGATGTGCGAACTGTCTTTGGTGAAAGAACTTGCCATATATTTTACCTACAGACACCACAATGATGCGATATCGGCGCCCGACTACTCTACGAACACCCTACCTTCACGTTCCTCAGGCCACCGCATATAGCCATGAAAAACGTAGCTTAAATTCACGTGTGATCGAAGTGATTCCGAAGGGCGCGCGATCTCGTTGGCTGCGGACCCTGCGCCCTTGGCTGATGCGGTCAAACATGGACATGCCGTCATGTACACAGATAGTGCTGATATGTTCAGCATTTGCAGAATGCGCACGGGGATAGAGCAGGAACTTGAAGGGCATCAGTTCATTTGTTGTTCGTGGTGATTGACGGGCGGAGAAGGAAACGTCGGATGAGGATGGGATGACGGAAGTCGCACCGGTCAAACGAGCACGCACGACTATCAGCCCGATTGCTGCCCAAGCTGTGCTTGTGCGCAGTGCATCACTTTTATCGACTTGTATCAGTATCGAAGTCACCAACACAATCACCAGCCAAAAGTGCAAGCGTAGTTATACATCTTCAACTTTCAATTTCCTCCCTTCCACACACCCATCATCAGGTATGAAGGAAGAGACTTTGCTTGCTAGCTAGCTACGCTCTGGGATATCAACAGAGGAAAAACCACCCTATTCACAGCCTTTAGTAATTCCGAATCCCTTTTTCTTGCCAAATGGAAAGCAGCCGTGACCCAGATAGAGAAATGACACTGTCTTCCAACGTCAGAGATGAGAGCTTTCCTCTTGCCAACCCTAGCCTAGCCCAGCCCAGGTACACCAGTACCGGTAAATTAGACTTTACGTACACATGAACTTCTTCGAGAGTCCAATCAAGATAAGGAAAAGGAAAGGAAATGGCGACCCATGGGCACACCGCACAAACGCACAATGGTATAAACAAAGGAAACGAATGGAAAACCGAACCCGGAGAGACGAAAAAGGAAAGGTAGGTGGTACATCGACATGTCGAAAATATTCGATCAAAAAGGCGGTGGTCCAAAACAGGTAATGTCGCTGAAGCGCGGGGTGGCCAAAGTAAAGAGTAAGAGCGGCCAAGCCTATGCGCCGGGCAAAGGTGATTTCGTTAATATGGGGTATTCGAAAGGCAAAATGTTTTGACCTCCAAAGCATTATGCTTAAACCCAGACGCCGTGCGCGAGAAGAGATTGTGAAAGGAAAGGTTCGTGGACACATGTACAAGGCGAGATGGCGGTGGAATCAAGCCATAGGAGGGAGAGGTTCAGCCGCGCTCTTCTTGCGGCCGAAGATGGTGCGAGTCCTGCTTTTGTCGCGAGCCTTCTTGTCTTTGGAGTGGTCTTTGGTAGCGGACCGACCTGATCGGACCGACCGCTCATCCGAGGTGGTGGAGCCGTCGTCCATGTATTTGTCTTTGTAGATCCAGCTGTTGCCCACCATGCTGACGCCCTTGGCTTCGGCTGCGCGATAGAACTTGGCTGCCTTCTTCATGTTCTTCTTGCAGCCGACGCCTTCGGCATAACAGTAGCCGGCTTCGACGAGAGCATCGGCGTCGCCCCAGTTTCCAGCGATCTCGTAGCATCGCAGTGCGAGGGACTTGTCTTGAGGAGCACCCCAGCCGTTTCCGTAGCATTTGCCAAGCTCGTAGATGGCTACAGCGTATTGGGCGCGGTGGCGCTTCTTCTTGGTGAGGTCGGTCGGCTGCCCGTGCTTAGATTGATCCTCATCGTCGGCTACTTCCAGCTGACCGGAGTCAACGGCGCGGCGTAGCCATTGCAATGCTTCGGACTTGTTCTCACGCATGCCCCAGCCGTGACGGCAAGCGAGGCCATACCAGAACATGGCTTCTGGAAGACCAGCGCGAGCTGCGAGTCGAAGGTGATAGGTGGACTTGAGTAGTTCACCAGCTTCGTGAAGCTCCAGTCCCATGTCGCAGTGCTGCTGCGCTGTGACTTCCCCAACAGACCCGGCTGTCCGCGCGCGGATAGTGCTGTTGCTGGATGTGAGGGACGGGGTACCGTGGTCGAAGGAGGCATCCCGCCTGGCTTGTGGCTGTTGCTGGCGTGTTTGGTCGAAAGAACGAGGCGGTGATTCGGGTGAAGGAGGTCGCGCCTGAGTCTGGTTAGGCTGGCCTCCAGGCTGGTCCCATTTGATCTCGCGCTTGAAAAAGTCCTCAATACCGACAGACTTGCGGTCGACGGCCCTGCCGCGAGGGAGGTTGAACCTGGTGTATGTGTAGGACGGGGCTGGGTTGTTGCCGAACTCGCCGGACCGGCGGAAGTCCTCGCTTACCATGCTGACGGGAGTGTGGACCTGCTCGTTGGCGTAGTGAGCAGTAGGGAGATCGTTAGAGTCCTGTCGGCGGAGTTGGTCGTCGAAGGAGGGCCTCATGTTCACGCTCTCCTCGGACGGCTGTCGCGAGGGTCCGGCATCTGACCTTACGTCCAATGACGGACGCACACTCTGCCGGCTTGTGGGGCGTGAGAAGTTGGGTCTTGAGAAGTTGTAGGCAGGGCGCGGGAGACTGCCGCCATCGACCGAGTAGTTGGACGCAGCTGACGGTGATCGGGGGATCATGGTGGGACCGGTGGCAGGTGTGAAGGGAGACTGAGCTCTCGACAGGCTGGAGCTGGGAGACAGGTTGCGCGTCTGGTGCAGGGAGTCGTAGGATCCGCTGAGAGACATGTCCTCAACATCATCGTATGTGCCAGCGGCGGAGCGGATGCTCGGTGAGCGGTTCGAGTGCAGGGAGCTGGACGAGCGCGGCGGGAGCAGGTTGGAGCGTGGTGCCGAGCGGGGCTGCGATTGTTGCGAGTGCTGGGAATGCTGCGAGTCGCCAGAGCGCTTCCTCTGCGGGCTGAGGAACATGTGGGAGGTAGGAGCGGCCGGGAGATGGGGACTGACGGGCGTGGCCTCGCGCAGTCCGATGTGCGGCTCTACCGAATCGGGCGAGCGCGACCTGGGGATGTCGAAGTAGCTCTGGGGAGGCGTCGCAGGACTGGCTTCGGCGATGGTGGCCATGGGGCTCTGCAGCGGCCCAATGGCGTACTGGGGCTCGGGCTCGTCCATGCCAAACTGCGGGTAGTAGGACTGGTGTCGCTTGTCCGACGATATCTCCTGGCGGGGCGAGGCCTCGGGGCGCGGGGAGCGGACGGGGCCTGCATCTTCGTTGGGCGAGTTGACGGTCGAGTTGGAGAGCGACGAGAAGTAGCCGCCGCGGTTGCCGAACTCGTTCTGGATGGTGAGGGGCGCGAGGCGACTGAGGCGGCGGCCTGTCTTGTCCTGCTGCTCGAAGCGCTTCGCGAGCAGGCGGCCCTGGAGGGCGAGGGCGTCCAGAGGGGAGAGGGCGGGCGGCGCTTCGCCGGTGCGCGGGCTGGGCAGGTCGGAGCCGAGGGACAGATTGCTCATGCTGGCGCTGGCGAGGTTTCCGAGGCCGAGGTGGTTGGAGGTGAGCGAGTTGGCGGTGGTGGGAGGGTCGAAGGACTGAGAGCGGAAGTCGAGGCCGCCCGGGCGTTGGGTGCGGTTTGCCATGGTGAAGGAAGTGGCAGGCGGGCTAGTGGTTCATGGAATGTGCGGCGGAAGATTGATGACGCTGGGCCGTCATGCGCGCGACCGGGCAAAAGAAGCCGTCGAAGCCGCCTGGAGGGATGAATGCGGGAGACACGGGGCTGAGCAGCGCGTGCGGGAAAAGCAGCCGTGATAAGAGCGGTGGGTGCTATGGGGGGTATTTTGGGAGGGCGTGGATGCAATGGGCACCATGAAGAATGAAAGCAGCGCGAAGGAGCGGATACGACAGCAAGCGTCGAGAGATCAGTGATGGACTGCAGGCCCTGAGCAGTGTCTGGGGCGTCGCGATGTTCTATGCTGCCTCGCGTGCAAGAATAGCTAAACCTACACCTCCTGAAACCTCAGGTGGGCCGGGGATGCTCCCTGCTCGCCAATAGGGTCCGCTACCACCAGTCGGCCCTGCATCGCGACGACGTTGACCCACCGCGCCGTCGCCCTGACACGCAGCCACTCGATGCACGCATGCACACTCATCTCTCGCGCGCTGACAATGCCATTGCTTTTCACATCTCCATGCTCCCAGCTACCAAACTCTCATTTCCTTCACCCACTTGCTATCGTGTACACCATCGCCTCCAGCTGCCTCCATTACATACCTCCCCCAGTGCCGTTTCACTAGTCTATCCGCACGCCATCCGTATTCCCCTCTCGGCCTGCCTCCGTTTCGGGCGCTGGCCGTCAATAGGGTGGCACATGCTTCGCGTCACTTCATTTGCTCATGGCACTTGTGGAGCGGAACATGTTCCAGACTTTTGCTCATTTAACTGCTGCCCGTCCTGCGAACCACTGTTCCTGCAACGCTTCACGTCAAGAGCGCGCTGTTTCTGCCTATATCGCCGCGACTATATACTGCTCGTCGACTGGATTCTCTGCGTGCCTGCAAATCTAACCATGCAGGGAACACTCGCTGAGACCCGTGCCGGCAAGGGGCTCAGGGTCTTTTACGTGATGCCATCGCCCACTACGCTCGCCCTGCGTGCCCGTCCTTGGGCCAATACACCATCTCAATCTCGTGATCTTGCAGCGCCGGGCGCGATCTTCAGGTCACGCCGATGCCACGCACTCCCGCAGGCACAGTCCGTCTATGACGTTGCGCATCGTGATCATCTTAGTGATTCTCCACATCGTCGAGTTGTTGTCTAGGTTCTGGGGTCCATCGTCTAGGCGATCGCATCGATCCTCTCCCACGACTGCAGTTGCACGCTATCCTCTAGCTTCGGCTCGGACGCTGTGTCCAGGGACACACGTTTTAACCCCATCATCCACCCAACAATCCCAGCCGGCACCCAATTGCCCACCAGATCATATGTCACACTACCACGTCCGACGCGCCATACCTTCCTTGGCCGCTTCTGCGTGAGTGCATCGAATGCGCCGTTGTGCAATTCCCGAAGACTTGAGCCGCTGTGGTTTAACAACCCCCGGTTCTGGGCAACACGCGTCTGCGCTTCGAAGTTGTTGGCATACAGCGCTCTGGTAGTTGCTGGCCAAGCGTGTGGGCTCCCAAGCCCTCTGGTCTGGAGATGATGTTTCGGACCCACGTTTGTGAGATCGAAAGTTCCCAGATGAAATTGCAAAACTTCAATGCCAAGGGTTCCCAGTTCCGCCCTGAGTGATGCCAGGAACCCCTCGAGTGCGCTCACGATCGCAGTCTCTACGCTATGGAATGGCGGCCGTAGTGACGCAATGATGCTGGGCGTAAGCATTAGGACCCTGGATTTGAACTCACAGACGGTCGGCAGGAGCGCCTGGGTCACGGCGATGGTGTTGAGTACTTTGGCATTCAGCGCGTCTGACCAAAGCTCGGGGGTTACCGTCTCTACAGGCCCGGTAGGGTAGATGAGGTCTGGCACCAGTATGACACCGCTAAGATTGAGGTTGTGCGGGCTCGTCCCCGGGACAGCGACGTGCGGTTTCACAAGGAGCTCGTTGAAGTTCTGAATGGCTTGTTTTGTGCCCATCGTGTCCACAACATCCAAGTGCAGCGGGCGCACATCTGCTCTTGACTCACTAAGCACCTGCTGCTCTTCGTCCATGGTCGAGCACACAATGTATACAATGAAGCCGCGTCGTTCGAGGTCAAGGGCTAGCGATCGGACGATGGGCGAGTTGGGTGGTCCAGCGAGAACTGTTGGTGTTAGTCAGAGCCACTGCCTCGCGCCTCCCTCAAGCACTCACCAACGACCTCCGTCCTTGCCCCATTGCTCGCTCGCCGTACTCTTCGCTTGCGGTTGTATTTCTTCTGTTCTCTCCATACTAGGAAACTCCCAGTGCCGACAAAGGCGACGATGGCTGCCGTCAAAGCCCGATTTCGCGACACCCAGTCTTGCAGGCGATGCAGGTAGGCACCGGTGATGGGATGCGGGGGCGGCGGTGGCGGGCGCGGTCGAGCGCGTTCTGGCAGCCATCCTTCGGGGAGGCTCTTCTTAATGTATCCGGCGACATGCGCAAAATGCGCATCAGTGGCGTCCCATATCGATCCCGTGAAGTTGCGGACGTCTTTCGTGTACTCTGAGAGCTTCACCCACGTCAGCGAGGCGCAGAGCCAAAGTTCGTTGTCTTACTCACCACGCCCAGAATCTGCTGGTCGTCGTTTGACATGTCTTAGAGGAGCGATATATTAGTAAATCATACGACTTGACAGCGTGCGATGCTCCCAGGTTCAAAGTCTTTGACAGCTGAGTGTGACGACTCCGCCAGTCCACTACGTCAGGCACTGACTCGCGGAACGGGATCCGCACACGCTCGCACGTGAGAGGCACAACTGGCCTCTGAGCTGTTGCGCCACTATCTCGGTCAAGTCTAACATTAGCATCAGATCTTCCCACAAAATATGCGCGCTTACTGACCCTGCAGACGATCGCCCTTTACCTTGTTTACAATAGCAGCGAGTTATTACTTTGTCTGAGTGAAGTCGTTTAATCAACGACCTGGCCTTGCCATCGTCAAGCAGCAAAGGCCGCGTGAAGTGCTTACGTGGCTGGCCTCGTCCTTCGCCTCTTTCTTCAATCTTTCTTTACTTTTCACTTTCGTTCACGGCTCTGCCACCAGGTTCCTATATCTTCTGTGCAAAGTTGGCCACGCGTATATCCGATCCACTGAGTCATTTACTGCAACTCTCAACTACACCAAGTTGATCTACCACGTAACGCGCGCGTATCCTCTTACACGACCCAACCATGAAAGAGATCGACGCGCATTTCGATGCCTACGAGCATCTGAAGCATCTGCCTAGGGAGAAAGAGGCGTTGCACATGCTTCGCAAGGCAGCTTCCATGGTGAAGCCGATTATGAGGAAGCGCGGCTGGAAAGTCAGAACACTGTGCGAGTTCCTGCCCGAATCGGCTCGACTACTAGGTAAAATCTCAAAGTTCATGACTGGAAAATTTACTAACTTCTCAAGGTCTTAATGTAAATCGCACAGAAAGGATTCTCGTCCGCATGAGGTATCACTATGACGCCAGACAATTCCTACCCTTTGAAGAAATCATGGACACATTACTGCATGAACTTTGCCACATCGTATTTGGCCCCCACGACGGCAACTTCCACAACCTCTGGAATGAGCTCCGCGACGAACACCAGACCCTTCTCATGAAAGGCTACACTGGCGAAGGCTTCCTAGGACAGGGCAAGAAACTAGGTGGCCAACGAGTCCCACTTGATGAGATGCGCCGCAATGCCAGGAAGGCCGCTGAAAAGCGACACGCCGCATCTAAGCCCAGTAACGGAGGACATCGCTTAGGCGGATCACGCCCTGTACAACGTGGCGTCGATATGCGCAAGGTCATCGCCGATGCAGCGTCACGTAGAATCAGCATCACCGACGGCTGCGCGAGCGGGACTGCAAACGCAGGAACATTGGTCGACCAACAAGCCCAAAATGGATTCCGAACGACTGCAGAACAAGACGACGCAAATGACTGGGCCATCGCGCAAGCCCTGCAAGATCTCATGTACCAAGAGGAAATGCAGAGGTTAGGTGCACCAACAGGAAACGGCGGTCTAGCCTGGGATCCAGAGAACGGGTTGTCCGTCGACAATTACCCTGCTCAACCTCCCCGTCCGGCAGGAAGTAGCACTACACAGCCAGGAGGGTACTATGATAAAAATGGTGTCCAACTCAATGACGAACGCGACTCGGGTTGGAAATCTAACGGGAAGGGGGGCTATTACATGCCCGAACATCCAGAGAATGAACCGTCAAAGAAAGCTCGGCCTATACGCAGCATCGCGCAAACACCACAAGAAAGACCCATATCCCGACTCGTCACCCAATCATCATCACGGCCTTCGAACCCTAAGTCCTCTTCTTCGTCACGAACACCATCAAACTTCCATCCCCACGGCGAAGACCAACGACGAAACAAGAGTCTCCCTCCAACACCCCTACCCTCATCAACACCTGATCCTCCCCCTCAACCCCTCCCTCCATCCCAGCAAAACCCACATATCCCTCCCCCAGACCACTGGTCCTGCCCCACCTGCACCCTCGATAACCCCCTCGCCCACCTCGCCTGCTCCATCTGCACCACCGAACAACCACCCCAACCCATCCCCGAGCACCGGCGCTTTGCCTCTTCTGACTCTTCTTCCTCCATACTCAACTTGCCCCGGCCGCCTCCGAGAACGGATCTGAGGAGGCAGGGGGGAGGTGAGGTGACGACGCCGTTTGAGCCTGCGAGGGGCAGGTTGGGTTGGAATTGTTTGGTTTGTGGGACTTTTATGGAGAGGGAGTGGTGGACTTGTAGTTGTTGTGGGAGTATGAAGGCGGAGAGTTAAGATGGATGGGTGGTGGTGGTTCAATCTTTTTGGTCTTGTTTCTCTCCCTTGTTTTGGTTTTAGATGGGGTGGGACGGAGGGCTTTGTGAGGAGTTTTACGTATATATACCCGCGCCGGGAAGCGCATGATGGAAGTTTGATGAGTAGTTGATCTTGAAGGTCTCGCTAGCTAGACACCTTCAGTAGGGCGGGCGGGGGAGGCGGCGGGGAGGTGGTGGAGGTCGCTCGTTGCTTTGTAGAGGTACACGACCGCTACCTAATGCTACATCCTCAACGTTGTATTCACAAACATGCCGTCCGACTCAGTCTGCGGGACTATAGTCTCTATTCCCCATGGCGCGCTGCGAGATGGCTCTGGTTCTAGAACCGGTGGTGTCGGCACTCTTTCTGTGGCCTCTTCTGTCGCCACTACAGGAGCGTGCTTGTTTCGATATTTCTCTTTTCGATGTGCATCATATCTTGCCCACATCTCAAGTAGAAGCCTTCGGCACTTTGCGCGCTGGAAGTAGCGCAGATCGGGCCAGTGGCATTGTCGATAAATAGCACTAGCTTCCTGGTGTCGCGTTAATCCATCCAGTCTCGTAGACATTCGGTGAGAATACGACAAGCGAGGGGAGGTGGGGGGAGACGAAGTGTATGGTAGAATCGTGTAAACTCACTTTTGCCCATGACATGAAGGTATCGGAGGCGTATATCTCGTCATCTCGAGCTTCCCATATCATCCAGTGATCAGAAGGGTGTGGCAAGGGTATCATTTGGAGCGATATCAGATCTTGACACAAGCCGTCGAAATAGGCGACCGCAGGCACGGGTCGAGACGAACGCCATTCTTCGTCTTCTGGGACTTCCTCGAATGGTCTCGTAAGGTACGGGCCGCGAGCAGTCAATTCACCTAAGATGGAACGCTGAGTCAAAAACGAAGCGAAAATGCAGAGTGGGACTGATGCCGATTGTCTATCTTTGTCGTCACCATATTACTTACCATTGTTGGTATCCAGCATCCACCACGTTCCCAGAGAGCTTCCCTCCAGAGGAACCGACAGTGGGATGATACCCTCAGGTATCCTTGAATCTTCAATCGGCCACATTCCCGTCATGTCAGCATCTTCGAGCTTGTAATCTTCCTCGGGATAGTAAAAAAGATGCGGGTAATAGTTAAGTGTGGTCGTGTCTGGGAAGACGGGCCTATCGTTGCTGTGACAAAATGGTACGTGGCGGATGAAGTCGATCATTCGATCGTTGAAACCGAGTCGACGGAGCTTCGAAAGCGGAATGCTCTTGTCGAAGCGCCCTCCTTTTCGAGCGTATCCGATTTCTGCCGGTTTGATCGATACTGTCTTTGAAAGGAGTTCGTAGTATCGGGTGATGCTTGCTATTATAGCATCGCGGTCGTAACTAGAGGCTGCGCTTGCGCTCTGCGATGTAGCTGTTTCGGCCGACATGGTAACGACGGTCCTGATCTTGTGCTCAGATATTGACTCGCAAAATTCATTCATACAGGCTCTTGCTATGGCTTTTCTTTGATGTTCGCGATAGGTAACGCGTTACTCCTCGCTGCTGGATGTTGCTGCTGTCGAAAATCGTAGCACGTAATTACGGCTTCATAACTGGACTACAAAGTCGGGTGGTCGGCATCGCCCAGAGTACTGAATTTCGGATTGCTATCGCGAAAAGGAGATGCACGTGCAAGCGACGCGACATGGTGAGACGGATTAGGCATGGCGTTGCCCCCGCCTGCCTCCAAGCTTCTTGGATCCGGTCACGGTCGTTCCTACACGAACGCATCGCTCACGAGGAGGCGTTTACGACTTTAGCTCGATTTTTGCCTGTGCTCGTCACCGAAGCTGCGTTGTGGTAGGCGGAATTATTGCCATCTGGCATCAACACGACAAGACGACAAGCTATCGTTAACCACCGGATGAACTGCGGCTCTATGGCCACGTGATCGGACCTTCGCCGAAAACCTATCTGTCTCCGGATGCCATGATCGACCCGGTGGCCCAAGATTTCGAAGGCGACTCTGCGAGATTCGATGGTTGCAGCCACCATTTAGTTAGTGTAAAAGAAATACAGCGTTGCCACCTCATATTGCTTCGCTCGGAGCAGGCTCCAGGATGTAAATGACGAATCGACGGTACGGGTCGAGAAAGACATGGCCGATCTGCTTGTTTACATATACGCACTAGGCAAACAGCCTAAAACAGATGCTAGTGCCCATCACGAACAGGCACGAACGAATGGTTAAGGAAAGGTAGACGGAAAAACCAAGATGGCAGTTACCCCAGATAGATTGCACCCTCAACGAACCCCGGTCAATGAACATTTTCCCCAGCTTTCGGCTCCACACGACGGGCTTGGTGGAACCAGGTAAGAAACGACTATATAAGAACGAGTAGGACGCAGCATGAATCCGGTAGCCACCGTTGTCAAGCATCTACCACCACAATGCGTTCCATCCTTCTCGCCGGCGCTGCTCTCGTAGCCACAGCATTGGCTCGAACAGTCCCTCACCGTTCGTTGGCTGCCAGGCAGAATGGAGGCCTTCCCAGCACTTTCAGCTGGACATCTAGCGACATCCTAGTCAGGCCCAAGAACGATGGTCGCAACCTCGCTGGTATCAAAGATCCCTCAATCATCGAGTATGAGGGCGTATACCACGTTTTTGCCAGTACAGCGAAAGAGGAGGGCTACAACCTGATGTACTTCAACTTCACCGACTTCGACAAGGCACAAGAGGCGCCATTCTACTATCTCGACCAGAGCGCCATCGGTACCGGCTACAGGGCTGCACCTGAAGTTTGTAAGTAAAGCATTCTTCCAAATCCATACCCACCAGGAAGAGAATAGAAAGAGTCCCCAGCTAACACTTCGAAGTCTACTTCGCTCCCCAGAAGCTCTGGTACCTCGTCTACCAGAACGGCAATGCGGCATACAGCACCAACCCAGACATCTCCAACCCTGCAGGCTGGTCTGCTCCGGAAGTCTTTTACCCCAACGGCACTCCCGCTCTCATTGCAGAGGGTCTTCTCACCCCTCAGCAAGGCTACTGGGTCGACATGTGGGTCGTATGCGACGAAGCCAACTGCCATCTCTTCTCCCACGATGACAACGGCCGCCTCTACCGCAGCCAAACGACCGTTGCCCAGTTCCCCGCTGGCATGAGCGAGCCTGTCATCACCCTCTCAGAGCCCAACAAGAACGACCTCTTCGAAGCAGCCACCGTGTACCGCGTCGACAACAGCACCTACCTCCTACTTGTCGAGTGCATCGGTCAAGGAGATTCTCCCGGTGGCCTACGTTACTTCCGCTCCTGGACGTCTTCCTCGCTCGAGGCCGACGAGTGGAAGCCGCTTGCCGCTACCCAACAGAACCCCTTCATGGGCGAGGCGAATGTCGAGTTTGCCAACGGAAACAGGTGGTCGGATAGTATCAGCCATGGAGAATTGATCAGGTCGCAGGTTGACCAGACGCTCTCGATCAAGCCGTGTGGTATGAGGTTCTTGTACCAGGGTATCGATCCTCAGGCGACCGGAAGCTACAATGCGCTGCCGTGGAACCTGGGCTTGTTGACCCAGACTGGCAACACCACTTGCTAGATAGATATGTGAGACGACGGGAATGAGATTAGACATTATGACCACTTGTGGATAAGTGCATATAGACCCGGGCACAAATCAGCGTCATCGTCTCTCCATAAACAAAATGAAGAAAGTACAATACAAATCCCTGTTCCAACGCAACCCGCTACTATGCATCCTTATTGCGTTGTCTACTCACACTCTCAGCTCACTGACCACATCACTTTACTACACCCCATTACAACCCACTACCACCACACCGGAGCCCTCCAAACACGATCCTCGCCCCCTTGTCACAAAAAGGTCCCCTGCAAACCCACGATCTGCACAAAAACGGTACGGTCTCATCTCGGCACCACCCACGCCCCAACATGACGACTTCCATCGTCGTCATCGTTCGTCACCCGCCGCGTCCCGTCTAACGCGCTTTCCAACGAGGAAAAAGGAACTTTCCGGGACGCGTGGTCGTGGGAGATGCACGTTCCTGGTTGTGGTGGAAGGGCTGGTGGCAGGTGCGAGGAATATGCATGTTGACTTGTGCATATGATCTGCGCTCTGTGAAGGGCATGGTCGGATCTAGACGGAGGGGGATAATATATCGTCGCGCGACTTTCCACAACGCACGACGGCGTGGGAGACGGTGAGATGGGGGTATCGTGAGTTTCCTAAATAAGTGAGTGTCTGAGCGTACCTGGAAGGTGATGCATGCACCAAAGCCGCTTCCCCGGTCAGGGTACTAGGTCTGTGTACTGGCATAAGCCTTTCACTGGCGTGGGTGATATGCTGACAGTAAATGACGTTGCGCCGAGTGTGATAGAAATCGTTATCGTCATATCACTCATCATGTCTCTTGACGAGCGTACCTAGGGATCGATGAACTACGTCAAGCCTTCCAGGAGCTGGCCGCTTATTGATTGGCAGTCAGTGTTGTTGTCTTCTTCGTTCGCCAGACAACTAATCATGCGTAGAATGACTATGTGGCTCATCAACTTCGTCACATGTCTCGTCGTTCGCCCAGTCTCATGCTGTCAGTGCAATATGACAAGTCGTCTGTGTTCATGAGAGATCTCTGCTTATCGCGAGCATGCCATTGCACACCGGTTTTTGCCGTTGAAATTGCTGTAGTCGAGGTATTTGGTTGCGGCGAGCCGAGCCGGAGCATTTACGGGGAAGCGGGATGGATGTGGGCTCGTCGCTGGGGACGGAAGGAACGATGTATCATCACACGATACCATCCCCCCGGTGAAACATGCTCTCGTTGGCGGATGAAGGCAATATGAAAGACGATGATAGAGCTGTAGATTTCCCATGACGTGAATGCTAACGCCTGTTTCGTAAGAGGCAGGCGTGCGTATCGACTCATCCATGGCGTAGATGGGGATAATGAGGTCTGCCGTTTTGAAAGAGCTACTCAGTTCTGAAAGTGTGAAACGGATCTTGTATTCGAAGAGGTTGCGACGGCTGCTTTGATGAATCTGACTTACTGGATACGCAGATCACCTGCTAGAGCATGATCACCACTGCATCACAATATCGCACTCGACAACCATAGACTCAACAACCGGAGAACATCGGAGAAACAGCTCCAGACCACGACGATCCTCGATCCCGATCAAGTAAACTCTTCCCAACTGCATACACATGCCGCAGGAACACGAACGCCTCGCTGCAAAGTGCAGACGTCAACACTTGGCGAACAGCCTCGTACGAAGCATCAGGATCTCAACACACGCGCGACATCAAACTGATGGTGTGCTACCCCACGATTTGCGTAAAGGGAACTGGGGTTGCTTTGCTAAGGGATTCAAACATGGTCAAGCGAGCGAATTGTTGAGCTAGTGTCTCGGTTAAGGTTCCGATGTGACTGGATTGGCGAGATGGGGTGGATTGGTGGAACATCTAGGGTCTTCTCGGTCCGACTAGGTGTATGCTATGTCATGGGGAGAATTTGGGAGGGTGTTGTTGAGGAGGGCGGGTTGCGATCGAGGATTGTTACCTTGGCTATATAAGAGGGTGTTAAGAAGATTGATCGCGGGTTTTCGCCTGTTGCTGGGGCCAGATGCGGGGTCTTGGTGTATGGGCTCTTGGTAAGCTACCTAGGTATGAGTTCGTTACGAGTTGCCAGACGGAGATTGATGGTTACAGGTTCCTGAGAGCGTATGATGCGTGTTTGAAAGAACAGAGTTGTATCGCAAGCAAGCCGATTCTAGGATGCGACATATGGGGTGGTACAGGCCGTATTGAATGCCGCATCCTCAGCCGCTCTCCGAAAGTCCGCGGCCCCGTTACTTCAGGGAATATACTTCGGACGCATGCAATGTGCGGAAGTCCATTCTTCTCACGGAGAGCGCTTGTCTAGAATTCGACGAGACCATGTCTCCGTGGCCGCGGAAAGAGCTGGGCATTCAAATGCGAAAGCTAGGATCTGTGGATTGTTGAGAGAGATGCGATGTAAAATGCGGACCTTAGCGCACTATGTGTACACGCCGCAAGCGCGGTGCTGCTAATGACATTCGCATCGCTTACCTCAACGAGCTCGCGTCCGAACCCAAGAGACCTTGCTCACTTGAATTGTCGTGCATCTTAGTGGCGTGAGCAGCTGTCATGACCCCGATGTCTCATGAACACTGCCTCTTTGTTTGTGTGTGCGTCATTGGAAGCCTTTAAGCCCCTTCTCTGGGCATGGAGAAATAACGACCCTCGATCCTCCTATCATGGTCATGAGAGGTCCATGTTCGCTATGGTAAATCTGGGCAGAGAGAAATGTAAGATCGCCTGGACACCGTACACGACACGGGCGGTCGTCGCAAATCGCGCGTAAATCGTGGGCTTTCATGAACCGGAGACGGCGACCAGACCTATCG